CCAGTGGGCAGAAATCATACAGCTGAGATGTTAACTTATCTTGAGGTAGTGCTCAAGATTAACAACAGGCAATGCTTGGGAACAGATACATGGCTCGTTCACGAGAGAACTGTAAGGCAGAAGTATATTTATTTGTGACGATGAAGAAAGAGCTGAGCCACTGCGCCAAGCTGCCCTTCCTCAAGTCTGCCTAAGCCTATCCGCATCTATGACAATAAATGTTGAGAAAATAGCGCAAAACACGGTCTACTTGTATATAACAAAAAAGACACTGCGGTCAGTCCGGTGACTAACCAATACCGACGTATGGGCCTGTCTCAAGGGCATTCTTAAAGGTATATTGGTTGTGAAATTTCATGAATACGGTTAGTCGCCAGAAGGCAGCCTTGGGGGGGGGGCTAGCTCCAAAATTGTGGACGGCTGCGGACAATCAACTACATTTAGAAACTTCACCAACAACCTACCTTGACGAAAGCACGTGAGAGAAGGACCGAAACGTCGGTACTGACAAGTCACCGGACTAACCTCAGTGTCTTTTGCGTTGTGTATAAATCGTGTTTTATGCTATTTTTTCAGTATGACCACAAACGCACGAACGAATTACTCTCCCTTCGTAATGAATGGAAATATTACGTCGAACACAAACTGAGGCTGAAAAGAATTTTCCTATGATGACTGCTAATGTGATGCAGATGGTGAAGATCCGTAACCTGGCAATCAGAGACCCCTCACTAGTGAGCTGTTTTTATGGCAACACAATTTGAACTGCAATGTTATGGACAAGTAGTCAAGAGCTAAGACAATAAAATCGCCTGACAAAGCCTCTGCATAAATCTACATGGCAGGCGGTAACAAACCTAACGCCAGACAGCTCAGGTATACTGAACATTAACCTCTGAATCTAGCATCGTGGCGTCTCGAAACCTGGCCTATAGATCTAGCTCGACCGGTGAAAACCGGGTCAATTTGAAAAGCGTCCAGAAGAAGCTATCAGCGCAGTCTGCAAGAAATAATGGGCTAAAGTCACAAATTACAATAATTTCACATATATATATACGTTCAAAAACTGAAATAGAGGTCCGTCACAGGCGGCAACGGATGATTTGCGCTTTCGATTCCATAGCAGAAGACAAAAGACGCGAAGTGAAATGATAGTTATCTGATTAGCACTCTTATGGACTGCACGCTGAGGTTAATCCACCTCTGAGATCGTTGCGCAATTTTTTTTCGACGCAATGTATCGTGCCGGATCTAGCCATAACTGCTTTAGCCGGCCTTTATGACGTCACATCGAAGACAACTGGTTTCTGTGCCATACTGCCGATATGACAGTAATGACTATTTGGTTTTCCACCCTAACTAGCACTGACAAAGTTACGACCATGGATTGCCCTAGTTTCGGAAATTCAAGTTGCGTCGAAAGGTCTTCCTTTCAATTTTCTGACATAATTATTTAAGCGCGCTTTGGATCTTTCGTCTGTCATACACATGAATTTTAATCCTGTGTTTGGAAGACAGAACTCGCGATAAACAGATTTCATCATGCCATTTTTCAGAACTAATAGTGCTAGTTATCTTCCATCATTCCGTCGAGGTATCTGTTCAAATGGTTCTTCTCCCGGGCAGAAATGCCATAAAGTAATACGTTCTATCACTGTTTGATAACAGTTCCATTACCTATCGATAGTAGGTCAGATCACTTTAAATCACCAGAGCGTCATTACATTCCGGAGTTCACTACGTTCGTTGAAAACAACTGTGGCAACTCAAGAGTAAATATTCCTCACTGACCGACTCCCTCCTATCACACAAGTTGATGATTTCCCTGTCTTTGCGATAGGGTACTGGCACAGGATTTTGGAAAGTAATAAAATTCAAAAATTCTATGTCACCGTAGATACAAAGTAAAGGAAAGGAAAGTAAAGTTTATAACCGTTCGAATGTTGGTCTTCCTTAGTTTTCTGATAGGATTTTGGGGTCCTTTTTTTACAAAATTAATGGTGGAAGCTCTGATCTCCGTTTCTATACCATTAGTCAGGATGCGTCTTATTTTAAAGGCAGAGTCTACATCCATGTGGCAAGCATAGCGCGTAGTCTCTTGTTTCCTTCCCACAGAGTGACTCTCCTTTATCAACCTCGGCAAGAAAAAGGGAAATGATCTTGACAGAAGTTAGAACCTAAGACATCACGGTTGTGAATCTGACGCTCTAACGACTGGGAGTATGAAGCAACATGTGGTAAATTCATTGCTCTGAAAAATCTGATAGAGATAAAAAAAAATCCCCTCTGCCGGAATCGAGCCCAGCACCTCCGTAGTTCGAAGCCGGTCCCCTGCACCGTGTCACTAGGCCATAGACGCGAGACAAGAAAATGTCAATGTGTAGCATCTGGTACGGGAAGCAATTCAACGCATAAAAAAACATACTAGTTTGTTGCTGTCTGAACCGACAACAAACGACGCGACATTTCCTTCCATGTCGAAATGCTGTGCAATGCTCAGGCCACTCAGATTATAACAGGTGTGGTAGTAATCTCGATTTCTAAAAATTTCAAATAAAGCATTAAAAATTTAACATAATTAACTACTTTCCGGGCTTGTCAATCAAGCCTCCTAATGGATATTGGCAGCAAATCAAAATATAGTTCTGCAGAGCCTGCGAATCAAAAATCCATTGAAGACTAGCGTACTTTTTAGGATCTAAACATATAAGTCTCAAAGAATATCGAAGCTCACCGACCCGTTAATATTATTTAAGAGACATCACTTGGCACAACCTTATAACGACATGATTCTCAGGTTATCAATTACAGTGAAATCAATATATGCATATATCTCTGTGACTTACCAATAGATTACATTACCTCTGGATTACAGCTTGAATAT